AGAGATATATACATAATATACACACATAGAGAGAGACAGAGAGAAAGATTGAAAGAGATAGACAGAGAGAGAGACACAGAATACACAAAAAGAGAAAAATAGATTGTGCATGTTTCCAGGAGCCAGCAGGATGAGTTGCGGTAACATTCTGAATGTGCTGACTCTGTTGCTCGGGAAGTCTTGGGGCCCGAGACGTCGTTTTGCAGCTAGAGCCCTGTTCTCATTCATGATGGGTGAGAGTGACAATTCCGGTGATCTCATGGCCTTCCTCATGTCTTCTCACAGCAGCATGCCCGCAGCCGCAATGAATGCTGCAAGTGAAGCTGGTGCCTCATCCGCGAATACCAGCAACGGGGGCCTGTCAAGAACAGTGACGCCACCACCGGTCAAGAGGCAGCTATCCTTTGGTGACTCTAGGACTGCTGCAGGTCCCTACAGACGGGGGGCGACCTTGGACTCGGACATGGGCCAGACACCCAAAGGCGCTATGAGAACACCTCCTGCTGCAAAGCTTCTTCTGGAAAGCCCTCAATCAACCCCCCGGGCGTCATCCGATGATCCTGCCTTAAAGCTCGAGATTGATGCAGTGTCACAGAAGCTTCAGGCCGAGCTCAAGCTAGAGAAGGAGAAAAAAACCAAGAAGGATGTGGCTTCGAAGAAGCCGACCGGGAAGAAGGCCACCGAGGACACAAAGCCTGATATCTTTTATTATTGGAGCCCTAAGAAATGTTTCCCACACTCAAGATGATAATAATGAGCAGCCTAGAGCCTTATGCATGGACCCCTTTCAACCATACTTGCAAACATTAGTCTCCAGCTAAAGCCAGCCCATAGCCCCGCAAGTGCAGTGATGCCAAACTCCTGAATGCAAAGCCTGTACGCTTTGATACTTAGGAACATAGATGATACTTGTAAGCATCAGTCTGGGGCTTGAATACGTATACCGTCCCAGTATCAGCTTTGCTTCGCTATCCTTTGTAATCAATATTTCAATGCCCATATATCCGTGGTTTGGTCACGACTGCTCCCTAAACCCGGACCCCTTTACTGCTACCCTAATCACCCTAATCCCTCAGCCTGCTTCCCCCATCCCTAAACCCTTAACCTGAAACAAGCAGAAGAGACAATAGCTTGTTCTGGGCCTAGGTAATATTATGAACCGCTTGCAATTGGCATCATCCCCAAAGACCTTTTTTACATCCCACCCCCAGCCTACTCCCTTCCCAGGAGCCGAAGCCTGGATCGTTCCAGGAGATGGTCAGGAATGCAGTGAGGACCTCGGCGACAGGTTCCGGTGCCAAGGCTACGGGGGCTGATTCAAAGCGGAAGCCAAAGGCGTCCGCGAAGAAGAAGGCGAAGAAGGAGCACAAATCCGCAGACGAGGACGAGGATTCCAAGAATGGTTCGGCAGACGAGGACCAGCAGGATTCCCAGAATGGCTCGGCAGACGAGGGCCAGGATTCCGAGAATGGTTCGGCAGACGAAGGCCAGGATTCCGTAGTCTCAGACGAGGGCAATGCGAAGACGGCAAGCTCCAGAAAGGCAGCCTTCAAGAAGGGTGACAAGACGACGAACCCGAAGCAGAAAGTGCCAAAGTCATCCGCCAGTAAGAAGAAGAACGAAGGCAAGAAGGGCAAAAACAAGATCGAGGACGACGTTGAGAAGCAGCCCCGCAAGGAAACGGCCCTCACCACCGGATGGAAGCAGTTCTGCGGCGATTACATCCGTGACAACAAGGGCCAAGGCAAGAAGGTCAGCCAGCTGATGAAGGAAGCCAGCGAGCAGTGGTGCTCCCAGTTGTTCTTAGATAAACCACGAAAGTTTCTGAAACCTAAAGGCATTAAACTCTGAATCCTGCGAACAATAACGGAGTCACCCAAATCCCCCAAAAAACCAAACACCACTAATAAGTCACTGCAACCTCCACCAACACGACTTTCACCAAGAGCACCAGCACCCATCGCTGCCACTACCTCCTCCACCGCCACCACTAGGACTTCTTCCAAGTGCCACCATAACAACAACACCAACCCAACATTAACACCACCACCACCGCCACCACCA